CAATACCTGTCTGTCTGGTCTCGATACCTGTCTGTCTGGTCTCGATACCTGTCTGTCTGGTCTCAATACCTGTCTGTCTGGTCTCAATACCTGTCTGTCTGGTCTCAATACCTGTCTGTCTGGTCTCAATACCTGTCTGTCTGGTCTCAATACCTGTCTGTCTGGTCTCAATACCTGTCTGTCTGGTCTCAATACCTGTCTGTGGGCCTCAGCAGCTTGTCGCACATCACTGTACATGTCACTCTGCGCTCGATCAAGGGCTCTCTTTTCTTCACTTGTTTCACGCCACAAATTGCTAGTAGGTAATAAAAGTTGACAGTGTTACAGAAAAAAAAAATATTTATTTGTTTTCCATGTTGTTCAGATTCTTAAACTGGAGATGAAGAAGAGAAAGGGTAACACATCATTCTTTTAAAAGCAAACAGGAAACACATGTTACTTACTAATCCTTGTAACTCATGATCTGTCCAATGGGAAAGTTGCCATCTGGAAAAAGTTCTGATACAGCCACAGTAGGAGGATCAGTCTGTTGCTTGTTCATAGAGGAAGAACCATCTGATGTTTGAAAAGATTCAAAATTAAAGTCACCACAGTATTTTAAAATGTTACAGGTACAGTATGTCTGATCAGCCGACTACTTCTTTACTATCTGAGTTTATTCCCCTGGCCTGGCAGTTTGGATATTAATAAGGTGTGTAAGTTTCTAAAGAAACTGTGGTGCTGCGTTGGTAGGGGTAACAAGGTAATTTGGTTATATATCAACAAAGTTGAAATTGTACATTGGCCACGGTAAAGAGTTAAAAAGCTACCGTTTTGAGCATGCTTGAAACATCAGCTTTTTAAATGTTTATGGTAGCAAATGTACAATTTCACCTTAGTTGATATTACCAAATTAGTTTGGGTATTACCCCACTTGCACATTTTTGTCAGGCTTCCCTGACAGTTTGCCGCTGGGTGTAGCAAGACATTGCCAGAGTTAAGTGTGTTCCCAAAGAATACAACACAATGAGTTGCCAGAGCTTGGACCTGGACAAGTGTCCAATCCACTAGGTCACTGTAACTCTCTCTAAGACGAGCAAGGTGCTGCAACAGTGGGGTATTACAAAATATGTAATAGATATTGGCCTACACAAAGAGTTTCTACAGCTGATGTCTCCAGCATTAGCTCTAAAAAAGGGCTTACACTCTCCAATTTACATTGTCGACTCAGACAATAAAACAAAATTATCCCTCACCAATTTTACTACAAAGCAAGACAGTCATTAATCCTAAATAATCTTTAAGCAATTGTCACATAAATTTATTTCTAGAGATTTAGAATCCAGGTTAAATTTCATGTGAGTCAAGTTCATTTTTGTCAAAACAAACTTCCATAGAATCAATTATAATTATTCCACGACCTTTAAATCTCAACATTTTCAATTTATCTGGTTGGAGATAGTTTATTTTCTGATTACTTTGGCTTTCCCCTTCTCCTGTTTTAGCTCCGGCTGGCTTCTTCTTTTTCTTTTTCTTCTTCTTGGCTGAAGTTCCGTTGGTGTTTTCTCCATTTTGTAAATCTTCAGCGTCTATGTTTATAAGAAATATAATTGATAGGTTTTTCTTTTTTTTGTTGGTAGGTTAGTTAG